TGACGATTCACTCGACAAACTGAGCCACTTCTGAAACTTATCCTATTCGATGCAGCCCAATGAACTCTGTCGATTAGCATATGGTTCCCTTTGATAACAATAAAATCTTAGTCATCGAGACCTCTGAAAGATCTGTAACGAGGCTTTGGACCCGAATTTCTCTGACGATTTGCTCCACGAACTTGGCCACATGCGAATCTTAGCTCATTCGATACAGATTGACGAGCTCTATCGATTGGCATATATTTTTCATTCGGAGAAAAAATTTCGACCAATGAGGTTTCCGAAAAATTTTCAAACGGGATTCGAATTGTGTTACCTTCGACGATTTATTCCAGAGCTTGACTCACTAATGAAAATGAATAGAATTTAATTCTTATCGAAGTGAAACATATACCAATTGATAGAGCTCGTTGAGCTGCATCGAATGGGATAAGTTTCAAAAGTGGCTCAGTTCGTGTAGTGAATCATCTGAGGAAACCCGAATCAAAAGCGTTGCTACAGGACTTCTTGAAGTCCTCAGGACTAAAATTTTATTTTTATCAAAGTGAATCATATACCAATCGATAGAGCTCGCTGTGCTGTATTGAATGAGCTGAGATTCAAATGTGCCTCAGTTCATGGAGTGAATCTTCAGAGGAAATCCGGCTCTGAAGCCTTCATACAGATCTTCTAGCGGTCCTAACCCTCAACATTTTATTCTTCTGAAGGTAAAACATATACCAATCGATAGAGCTCGACGAGCTGCACCTGGCCTCCTGCGTCCATGGTGCAGCTCACTCAATTAGGTATATCGTTTTTCGAAAAACTCGAATCGGCTGCTAACTTCCCTTATATGGCTTTAGATTGTGTCTAAACGTATGAAAGGAAGAAAATGAAAGTGAATATTGGCAAATTTTGCCAATTTTATGAAAATAATGATAAAGTTAGCGACTTTTTCTCGTTAACATGGATCGTTTGCGGCTGTTCATGAATTTAATGAAAAGAATAGCAATTAATATACTACTGAAATCAATCCTGATTATTCGATAGTTATAAGAAAACCTTGGTGATTTGTACTCGTGCTCTCTATGATTCGAACAGACACCGAAGCTATCTGTTGTTCATAGGTAGCTATTAGAATGCCTTGAAAAATTGCGAAAACAAACAGATTAGGAACAAAATCGACAATACTCTTCACAACTCTAAACGATCGAAATGACTCGCGCTCTAAAGTCTTACATATTTGTTATAAAAATACCATTGTGATTTCACTAAGAGATGCTTCCCATGTCAAATCTTTGTATGTCGGAAGTTTTTAAAGGCATAATAAAAGCCATCTATGTTGAAAGAGAGATAACGGTGTCTTTTGAAACGACAGAGGAAATGAATAAAAATTGGCTAGATATTCTAAAAATTTTCCAATAGAACTGATTTTGACAGCGTATTTCTCTTCCATCTTTCATATGGTTATATCTATACTCTGAGGAAATCTATCCACAGATGAGGCAGGGTCTTAAACTGGGATATGCTAGTAAATTGTTATCTATTCTTATTATAATTATAAAAAATCAATTTCTTAACTTTGTATATGTTTGAAGGATATCCACCCCGTGAAATTTCCAGTTTGGATAACTTGAAGAAAGTAATAAAAAATTGATGTATAAAAACGATTTCATATCTTTTATGTTAAATGACCAATAAATGAACTGTTTGTATAAGTGCACTTATGTAAAACGAACGACTAATGGTTCATACTGCAACCATTCTGCAGATTTCGCTCACAAAAGATAAGTTTAAAAGCTAGATTTTTTTTTGAGAATGCTGCACTAATATTTTCTTACTGAGAAATTTCAATAAAACTCTGATTTTCCAGTTACAGAATGAAATTGCAAAAATCAGAAATAGTTCACAATGACGCGTTGACTTTGAAATTGCCATCGAGAATTCTCGTGCTATAAATCTAATAGTTTTTCAAATTAAGCCAAACTTGAGATTAGGTGAAGTCTAAATAAAAAAGGATGGCGTTATGGAGAAATAGAATCAAACATAATCGTGGCTAGCCCTGAGCAGTGTCATGAAGGGTTCTCGACGAGCGACTAGCCGGTGTACTAAAAAGTTCCTTGAAGACATGTTTCAGGCTGTCTGTACTCATCAAACAAATATCAACAGTCTAGCCTTAATGAGTTTGAATAAGGACTAGACATTGGTAAGAGGTAAGAAATATGTTGAAATAAAGTGTGAAAATGCTTTTTCTGCACGCGCACAATATTTTAATACTACATTTGACGGAAAACATCAGTCAGAGATTTTATATTCATGGTATTAGAAGTAGATATAGATGAAATCAATGGAAGTTTTTCTGCTGGTATGTGTTCTTGTCTGCACTCATTCAAATGTCGAAATCTATACCGATATATTCAAATTACGTATCTAATCTGATGGTTACTTTGAGTAGGAGCTTCTTTCAAGTATGGCAGTTCGATTGAAGACTAGATCTAGTATGATTAATTTTAAGCTAGAAGTTCAACTGAATCCGTATTCTTGTAGCGCACACCCCAGTAAAAAAATATTGCCGGCGGATGTTTTGGTAAGTCAATGAATTTCTAGTAGAAATTTCAAGAAGCATGGCGCTGTTTCACAATAGAGTCGTGAATGCGTTTTGCTTCGTGATCTCTCAGAAAATTGAATATAATCTGTTTTTCGGGTGTATGTAGATATCACCGCCACAGTGTAATTGCTTAGACTATTGTTAAGTATCAATGTAGGAATATCAATTTGATTAGATGTATTTGTGACAAAAATGTTCATTCGGATCCGCATACCATTGTGCGCAACAAGATTGACTCTAATATCAACGCACACACAACCATCCACTCTTTTGACACGTTGAATACTAGCTGTTTTGAAGACTATAAAACAGTATAAAACATCAAAGAGTCGACTATATAGTTGAGGGTCAAGCGAGTCACACGGACGAGCGTTACTTGTATTAAATGAAAACTTTGATTTTCACGCAAAATATTTATTTTTTTATTTTAATTAATAATTGACGCATCATCATCATTTGATCTTTATTTTAAGCAAATATTTTTATTTATTGTTTGATTTAGTTAAACGAGTAGTACAACAAAAAAGATTAATTGTAAAGCAATTCTTGGATTCAAAGTATCTTTCTCATTGTTTTAGTACAATTATCAAATGTTTCAACAGAGAAAGAATTAAGAAATATTTGAATAAATAATTTTATCATGAATCGTTCTAGCGTACACCTTCAATCAATTGGTCTATTCTTTTGTACACAGATAAATCGTTCTCTAAAAACAAAAGTTCTTAGAGAATTATAATATGAAATCAAAAGATGAATTTTCTTTATGACATGCTGTTGATTGTATTGATGTTATCCATCATAGATGATATCATTTTGATGTACTTTAATATATGCATGATAATCAAATACTAGATCACTTTTGATAATTGTGTGATCATAATGAAGAGCTGAATAAAAATGAGACGTCACTAGTTCTCACAAAGAAAAAGAATTTCTGAAAATATAAATCGATTACTAAAATTGTCATGAAAGTTTTTTTTTTGATGAAACAGTTACTAATGTATTTTGTAATTATGCCTTGCAAGAGGCTGCTACTCATAGAAACGTCAACAAGACAATGTTAACAACAATAGAATCAGCCATCTTTTGCCAAAGTTATTGTTACAATCCTCATCCTTGAATGTAAACAAAAATAAATGCGGAAACTTCGGATTTAAATCCGAGAGTTATGTGTACTTCAAAAAGTAAATCATAAAAATCAATCATCCTAGACTGACTTAATATCAAAATTATACTGTGACATCGATCATTTCTAATATTGATTTCTATTGCGCGTTGCCAAACCAATAGGACATGGGACCGAATTAAGCTCAAGTTTGAACTCTTTCCCTTGATTCACTCTAACAAAGTCGTTTTTCCTATAACTTCATTTCTATTGGTCACTGCACAACCAATAGTATTTTGATGGAAGTGCAGTGCACATTCGAGTTCTCCATATTTGAAAACCTCGAAGTACCATCAGTGTGATGGGAAGAGAAAGCTCTATTTGTGGATCAATTAGATCGTCAGCTAAAATCTAACCTGGTTCTCTTTGATTATCCTTTTCATAGGTAAGTCAGCGTTCTTGTTTCTTTATGTTTTACATATCATTTTGTAGCCCTTGAAATTCTCTATGGAATGGTATATAATAGTTGGGGTTTAAAATTGACTATAGTAGGAAAAGTCTTTTACGAAAGTCGCGATGGGTCCATTTTTCCACAGAAAGCTATAGGGAAAAATGAGTATTTTTGCAATAACTGAGGAACGGCTCGGCCGGTTCTTCTCATCTTTGAACTCGACCGAGGTATTGTCAAGACTAAGCTGTGTAGAAAGTTTCATCACAATCTGACTCGGCTGTCAAAATTCATCGTGTAAATAGTCAACCGGATTGACGGACACACTAACTATTCTATAGTCTACTCACTTTCTGAGTACACAAAACTATGATTCGGTTCAAAACTAATATCAGACTCAGAATCAGCGTTAAAAACTGAGTCGATTTATGTAGTTTCTGAATAATTATGAGCAAAAATTTTTTTTCTAAATTCCCGTACCCGCCTCAGGGATGGCGTGGTTAAAAATCACAATTTTTCCCATAACTCAGCCATTTCTTGACGGATCCTTCTCATCTTCGAACTCGACCGAGATATTTTCAAGATTGAACTGTGTAGAAAATTTCATCGCAATCTGACTCTCCTTTCAAAAGTTATCGTGAGAACGGACGGTCGGACGGACACACTGACCGATTCTAGAGTGTACTCACTTTTTGAGTACACAAAAATGTATATTAAGAAATAAGAAAGAAAAACTTGTTGTCAAGCGATATTCTTTTTGGAATAAAAAACCATTTTTTATTGAAGAATATTTCGTCATTTTTTTCAGATTTAACTTTGACAAAGTATATTTGATTTTTCATACCTACGTCAAAATCATGGACTGTGGTTCTTCAACAAATACAGTAAGTCCTGCAAAGGATTCTAGGTCGAATTATACTGATATCAAAATACATCCTCATCGCTATCGGCAAACACCTAGAAACGTAGAACAAAATGAACAACATGCACAAATAGATGATCTTGTACAGAATTTCTTCCTAGTTTGGCTTGATAATCATTTGGACGAGTTTGAGGAAGATTTTCGTAATTCGCTTGCGAAATTACAACGAACCATCGATGTCATAGAAAAATTTCGTGATACCAATGAATGCATCATGCATATTTCAAAGAGCAAAAACAAGAAAATTTTTCTGGTCGTATCTGGTAAACTAGCCAACGATGTTGTACCATTGATGCATGACAAGCCTCAAATTTATGCAATTAATATATTTTGTTTCGATAAGTCAAAATATGAACAATGGACAACAGAAAAATGGCCCAAAGTACGTGGTGTATTTACGGATATTGACTCGATTTGTGATTCACTTCGGCAAGCAGCACGAGAATGTGATGATGATGATATGAATATTACTGGTCAAATTGAACCATCATTTATGTATTCAATGTTATTTAAAGAAATTGTTCTTGAAATTGATTTCGATCTGGAGAAAGAAATTCCAGCTCTTGCCGAATATGCTCGTCAGGTATACAAGGATAAACCAGAACAACTTCCAATTATCGATGAATTTGTCCAGCAATATAATGGTAACATCAACAACAGTCCTGTTCGCTGGTATACAGCCGAGTGCTTCACATACAAAATGTTAAACAAAGCACTCGGTCGATTGGATGTTGCTACTCTACTTAAAACAGGTTTTTTCATGCGCGATCTCCATCGAAATATCGAAGAACTTCATAAAAAACAAATAAATGATAATGATGCACCATTTCCAAAATTAGTCTTCCGCGGCGAAGCTATGACGCAAGAAAATTTCGACAGCAAGATTCAACAAGGCAGGCTCATGTCTTACAATAATTTCTTATCGACAAGTGAAGACAGAGGTGTTGCTCTTGATTTCATCAGTCGAAAACTCAAATCGGACCAAACTAAAATTGGCGTTCTATTTATTATAACGATCGATTCGACAGTTCAATCGACTCCATATGCGCAAATTTCTAAATTCAGCTTTTCTCCTGACGAAAAAGAAATTCTCTTTTCAACACACTCAGTATTTCGGATTCGACAGATAAAAAAAACAACAGAGCATGACATGAATATAAAGCAAGTCAACTTGACGTTGGCCAGTGAACAAAATGACGAAGAGCTTACTAAACTAACAGAAAGTATACGAGATGACATTAAAGGAAATGGATGGCAACAAATGGGTTCGTTGCTTTGGAAAATGAACCACAATGACAAGGCAGAAGAAGTCTACATGCTGTTGTTACAACAGGCAACTAGTGATGAAGACAAAGCATATTGTTATCATCTACTTGAACTTGTCAAGGATGACCAAGGAGATTACAAACAAGCGCTGGATTTCTACAAAAAAGGCATCGAAATGAACCAAACAATTCTACCGGACGATGATCCCAAGTTGGCTTCTTCCTACAACAACGTCGCTGGAGTGTATGAAAACATGGGTAACTACTCAAAAGCACTTGAATTTTACGAAAAAGCACATAAAATCTACGAAAAAGCTCTGCCTTCGAATCATTCCATGTTGGCTACTTCCTACAGCAACATCGGTGGAGTGTATAATAACATGGGTGACTACTCTAAAGCACTTGAATTTGACGAAAAAGCACATAAGATCTTCGAAAAAGCTCTGCCTCCGAATCATCCCGTGTTGGCTACTTCCTATAACAACATCGGTGGAGTGTATAACAACATGGGTGACTACTCTAAAGCACTTGAATTTTATGAAAAAGCACATAAAATTAAAGAAAAAGCACTGCCTTCGACTCATCCCGATTTGGCTAGTTCCTACAACAATATCGGTCAAATGTATAACAACATGGGTAACTATTCTAAAGCACTTGAATTTTACGAAGAAGCACTTGAAATAGGAGAAAAAGCTCTACCTCCGAATCATCCTGATTTGGCCTATTCCTACAGCAACATCGCTGAAGTGTATTACCAGATGGGTGACTACTCAACAGCACTTAATTTTTACGAAAAAGTAAATAAAATCTATGAAAAAGCTCTGTCTCCGAATCATCCTTCATTAGCTTATTCCTACAACAACATCGGTTTGGCGTATTCCGGCAAGGGAGACTACTCAAAAGCACTCTCATTCCTAGAAAATGCACTTGCTATCCGACAAAAATCACTTCCGTCAACACATCCTCTAATTGAAGAAACAAAAGACAACATTGACTATGTAAAAAAGAAAATGTAACTGTAATTTTTTCTTCTAGCTTACTCAATAAAAGTATTCGCATTGCTATTTATTTCGATTTTTCTCGGCTGGTTTTGGCTTACGCGCGCGCACGACAAGGGAAAGATCCCTTGTGAATGCCATAGGTACCACAGAGCGGACTACGCCGGACTGGTAGGGCAATAGCCGAAGGTATGCCATATCAACGGTAGGGACCAATGACACATAGAGGCCTTCCCTAGTACTACACTACTTCGCTAAGGGAAGAAAATACCTCTTCCTATTCAGTCAGACAACATAGCTATCTGACCCACAATGATAACACATTGAAAACTCAACTCCTCTCATCTCAAAAGTACTCATACTCATAATCACTGACAATATTTATTTTTTCTCGAAATAAGTTATCTCAACTAAACTCAACATGTAAAAAAATGTTTTTTTCTACCTCTCAAAGTTGTACTTAAGGGTGTTCAAAAGTAGTGGCAGTAACGCTTTAATACCATATAGTAAGCTTTAAGAAACTTTCTTTATATATAGTCTGATAAAGAAAAGAATGCTCTATTTTTTCTGTGCGGGTGGATCATACATCAAGTAATATTATAATAATAAAATTTCGATAAGATCTATTTTTCTATCATTTGAGGCGGTTACAAGGTGTCCGTTAAGTAAGGTAACACAGTACTTTTTTTAAATTTCTTTCTTATATATCGTTAGTTAGGGTTCATATTTATAGTACAGATATATCTCTGATTACTTAACTTATTCTGACAGTTTCAACCCTGTAGAGTGAAAATTCATTAAGAAAAGTACAAATATGTCTCATGTACTCAAGCAGCAGTGAGCAAAAATGAGCTTTTTTTCTGCTAAATATTCTTTTTTTCTCTTGTCAATGACAGCAGCTTTTGATGAATGAATCAATTTCTATAGGTTTTGCTAGACGTTATGCGAATAATTCTATCCAAAAAGCTTTGAATCGTTAGAACGAAACTGGAAATACCTAATTTAAGCTGCAAAAAATGATATTATTTAGAAGAGAAAAAAAGAATATTCAGCAGGAAAACAGCACATTTTTGTTCACTGCTGGGTGTGGGTGTGGGTGTATGTGTAGGTGTGAATGTAGCTGTGGCTGTGGCTGTGGCTGTGGCTGTGGCTGTGGCTGTGGCTGTGGCTGTGGCTGTGGCTGTGGCTGTGGCTGTGGCTGCGGCTATGGCTGTGCGTGTGGGTGTGGGCGTGGGCGGGTGTTGGTGTGAATCGATGAAAAGAAGACTCACACCCACACCCCACTCCGTGAGATGCCATGAGCGGATCATTTCATTATCTTATCTCTGTTTCATCTAATGTTTTAGTAGTGAAATTTTCAAGAAATATTTCGTCACTCTTCAGACATCTTTGCTGCAATTTTCAAGCAAATTGGTTGAATCTGCTCTGAGTTGTATGTATTTTACTGGAAACTAGACTTGACACACTGGGTGTGACTCTTTTTATAATCCACACCCCACACTCACACCTACACCCACAAGATCGGACAATATACGATTATGATGATTTTGTGGAATCTATATTAGCATGGAAAGCCCATTTACTACGCTGTGTAAATCAGGACCAATGCCGAACAGATGTTTTACAAGAAATGTCTGTCAACAGTACATTTTTGAACTTAGATTGGGCAATGAAGTAAGTTGTTTTAGTATACAAAGCCTATTTAATAATTTGAGTAGTTGTCTAACCATCGAGAAAAAAAAACATACTTTATTTGTAATCTAATTTTTATTAAGATGTAGATAAAAAAGAAAAATTTAGTAGAGTACATTACAAAACTCTTGATATGAGAAAGAATAATTAGATCTAAGATAACTTGAATAAAAGATTATCTTATCAAATAAATTTTACTGTCATATAAATGTGATGATATTTATATATAGATAATAATGAGGTGATATTGATCGCTGTTGCATTTGAGATATCTATCAATATTATGTCTCTTATAACTTATTCAACAGGATTTTTAAAATAGCATTATCAATGAATGTTTACTGTTAAAAGATCGAACAGATTCGTACTCTTTGAGTAATTCTCAAATGTATATTTTCTTTTTTTCATTTATTCGATAGGTGCTGCTGCATGATAAAATGCAATCAGACCCACAAAGATATAATTGATTGTGGTTATCAATAAGCGAACTGCCAAACATTTAGAAATGAAAAATGAAATCTCTGAGAGATAAATATATACATGTATCGTTGTATTATCTTTCGATTGTTTGAATACATCAAACAGATGAAGTCTGTGATTGTAAACAGATAACGAATATCTATTTTCATATAATTTGAAACAGAATTAGATAGTTTGTTTCAACTAAAATATCACTTAAAATTAGAGAAAAATTAATTTAGAAACAGTTATTATTTTTGGTTCTTGTACAAGTGGAATCCTCTTTCATACCGAGAGGGACAAGCTGCATTTTTCGGTAAAAATGGGATTAGCTGGCACATTACGGTTGTGTCAACAAAACCAGGTAACAATGATGCTCATGCCGACGAGGAGGATGAGATGTCAAGTGACACTGATGACGCAGACACCGAAGAACAACAAAAAGAAACAGTAAAAAAGACTGCTTTTGATCACACCATATTTGTGCATGTATTTGATCAAGTGACACAAGATAGTGATGCAGTATTGTCTATTCTGCAAGACATTCTTGCGAAAGTAAAAACAGGCAATCAAACGATTGAAAGTGCTTACATAAGATCAGATAATGCCTGGTGTTACCATTCGGCACAGAGCATTTTGAGTTTGCCTTATTTATCAAAAAATACCGGCATCAAAATAAAAAGTTTTGACTTTTCAGATGCACAAGGTAGAAAAGGTACGTCTGATCTTGTATGTGTCCTAACTATTGCTACTATCTTGAAACAGGTCCATCAGATAGATATGCTGCCGTTTTAAAGTCACACGTTCACCGTTATTTAAACGAAGGACACGATGTTTCAACAGCTGCTCAATTTATAGCCGCATGTGCTTCACATGGTGATGTGAAAAATATTCATGCATTTGAATGTCACGTGACTCCTACTCGTTCGAAAACTAAAGTTAAAATTAACGATACCACTAAACTACATAATTTTATCTATGAATCAATTGCTATTCGTTCGTATCGCGTTTGGAATATAGGGATTGGTAAGATGATTATGCTTGACGGAAATTCACGCGTTTTGCCGAACATTAATTCTCTCGTTTGCGTTACTCATTCTCCGGAACCAGATCGACTCGTAAATCCTTCTGTAGGTGATCGGCTGAATGATACCGTATCATCAGTATCCAAAGATGCTGATTCTAACGATCAAGAAAGATCGAAACCAAAATTATTCTTTTGTGATTACGAAGGGTGTATTAGTCGCTTCCTAAACTATGGTAATCTTCTTCATCATATAGCTAATGGTAATCATATTGAACGAGTCGAAAAATTATCAATGAAAGATGTCGCAATGATTACTTATAAGTCTAAGTTAGATACTGCTGAGAACCAACAGCTTTTATTTCTTGAACTACAGAAAATTAATTTCAATCGGGATGATTACAATCATATGCCAACATTAAAACAAGGATAGGCTCTCTCATTAACTCGAAAAGTGCAGACACTATCTCCGAAAGTAAAGCAATTTCTAAAGAAAAAATTTGATGATGGTCAACTACATGAAATACGATGGCAGCCTCAGGCAGTGATCGGTGAAATGAAATACAGTAAAGATCCAGAGACAGGGATTTATCTTTTTGATCTATCTCAGCTTGTGAAAGTGAGCACAGTTCGATCATTCTTCTCGCGACAAAAAGCAAGCAACAACAAGGTAAGTAATCTAAAACCATCTAACATCGAAGACAATAGTCTTATAACCAGTGAACAATATGATAGTGAAGACGATATTGAAGATGAAGCATTTCAAGAACAGCTAGCCATCAATTTAGAGCTTCAGCTTAGTGATATTCGATCGGCAGCCAATAAAAACAATATGGCTGAAATTAACTTGGCTACGACTACGTCAAAACGAGCATTATCGTCATTTGAAAACGAAAATTTATCACACACGAGAAAATCATCTAGGTTTCCGCGAAAACAGAGACAATAAAGATACTTTATCCTTCTTCAAAAAATGAACATTATACTAACGTTTTACTTTTAAAATATGCAGTAAAAAAAGTAGATAGGAACAACTGTGCCGATATTGATGGCACACTTCGATGATTCTCCTTCCTTCTCTGTCTGTTCTCTTGCTGTTGTTCTAATATATCTATCTCCTGTCTCTCTTCTATCTCACTCCTATATATATGCGTGTTCTGTATGAAGTTGACACACTCTGAATATGTGAAGAAGCGAATAAACATCATTGCCGAGAGTGGCGGTACACTACTCCACCTCTATTCAGTTTGTCATTACGAATCGACCCCAGCTGGGTCCTATTATTCGTTACAACAGCAGTTTTTTTTTAATGAAATAACGTAATGTACGATTTGAATATTTAGTNCTATTGGTTCTTCGAGTTTCACTGTCAGCTGATCAAACTTATGAGTTGAAATAATTTCCATTATATCAAAAGATGCGGAATCACATGATCTTTCTAATGGTGAAAACCGCAGATCGATAGCTATAACGGTTCGAAAGTTATTTAAAAACAATCACCCTTCTTTTAATTAGAAATGGACATTAGTTCTCACAAAGAAAAAGAATTTATGAAAATATAAATCGATTGCTAAAATTGTCATGAAAGTTTTTTTTATTTTTTGATAAAACAGTTACTAATGTATTTTGTAATTATGCCTTGCAAGAGGCTGCTACTCATAGAAACATAAACAAGAGAACGTTAACAACAGTATAATCAGCCACCCTTGGCAAAGTCGTTGTTACATTCTTCATGCTTAAATGTAAACAAAAAAAAATGTGCATTAAGAAATAAGGGAGAAAAAGTTGTTGTTAAGCAATATTCTTGTTGGAATAAAAGGTCATCTTTCATTGAAGAATATTTCGTCATTTTTTCAGATTTAACTTTGGTAAATACCTAAGTCAAAATCATGGGCTGTGGTTCTTCAACAAATACAGTAAGTCCTGCGAAAATCATGTTCGTATATCATGTGTAGTCAGCAGCGGTAAAATATGCATATTTGAACACTACACTTGCTATTTATATGTTTCATAAAATACTTTTTTTTTATAAATTTTATTTAATAATTAGTACCATAGAAGAACTCACAAAGACACTATGAACAAGAATTGCAAACTGTATTCATTCATTATTACTATGAGTACCAAAAAAAGCTAGCAAATGTCTACATCTACTTTCAGTTTGAAAGAATATGTCTTTTTAGAAACCTAAAAAACATCATATTAAATTTACTACCCTATATTTATATTGATCTCATGAAAGCTTAACTTAAAATCGATTTGTGTTTTTGCCCGCCACTATTATATAAAGAATTTTTGTCTGTTCTTTACATATTTTTTTAAATTAATTTCGCCACCAGAACATCATCTACGGATACTTAATCTAAAGAAGCAAACAAAATATTTATCGAAATAAGAACTCAATTATGAACTCATGCACCTACGATATATATGAATAGTTCATAAGGATTCTCGTTCAAGTCATACTGATATAAAAATGCACCCTCATCGCCATCAACAAACACTTGGAAACGTAGAACAAAAGGAACAACATGCACAAATAGAGGATATTGTACAGGATTTCTTCATAGTTTGGCTTGATAATCATTTGGACGAGTCCAAGGAAGATTTTGATAATTCGCTTACGAAATTACAACGAACCATCGATGTCATAGAAAAATTTCGTGATGCCAATGAATGCATCACGCATATTTCAAGGAGCGAAAACAAGAAAATTTTTCTGGTCGTATCTGGTAAACTAACCAACGATGTTGTACCATTGACGCATGACAAGTCCCAAATTTATGCAATTTATATATTTTGTTTCGATAAATCAAAATATGAACAATGGGCAACAGAAAAATGGCCCAAAGTACGTGGTGTATTTGCAAATATTGACTCGATTTGTGACTCACTTCGGCAAACAGCACGAGAATGTGATGATGATGATATGAAAATTACTGGTCAAATTGAACCATCATTTATGTATTCAATGTTATTTAAAGAAATTGTTCTTGAAATCCATTTCGATCTGGAGAAAGAAATTCCAGGTCTTGCCAAATATGCTCGTCAGGTGTACAAGGATAAACCAGAACAACTCCCAATCATCTATGAATTTGTCCAGCAATATAATGGTAACATCAACAACAGTCCTGTTCGCTGGTATACAGCCGGGTGCTTTACATACAAGATGTTAAACAAAGCACTCGGTCGATTGGATGCTGCTACTCTACTTAAAACAGGTTTTTTCATACGCGACCTCCATCAAAATATCGAAGAACTTCATGAAAAACAAGTAAATGATAATAATACACCATTTCCAAAAACAGTTTACCGCGGTAAAATTATGACACAAGAAGACTTTAAGAACAAAGTTCAACAAGGCAAGCTCATCTCATACAATAATTTTTTATCAACTACTGAAAAAAGAGATGTTGCCATTGATTTCATTGGTCGAGAATTCCAACCAAGCGATAGTAAAATTGCCGTCCTCTTCATCATGACTATTGATCCGTCGGTAAAATCAGCTCCATATGCACGAATTTCTGAATTCAGCAAATATCCAGAAGAACAAGAAATTCTCTTTTCAACACACTCAGTATTTCGGGTCCGACAGATTCAAGAAACAAAAGAGCGTGGCATGAATATACAGCAAGTCAACTTGACGCTCACCAGTGAAAAAAATGATAAGGAGCTTAATGAATTAACAGAAAGTATACGGAAGGACATTGAAGGAATTGGATGGGAACGAATGGGTTTGTTGCTTTGGAAAATAAATCAAAACGATAAGGCTGAAGAAATCTAAACACTGTTGTTACAACAGGCAACTAGTGATGGAGAGAAAGCATATTGCTATAACCAACTTGGATTGATCAAGAGAGACCAAGGAGATTACAAACAAGCGCTGGACTTCTACGAGAAATCCATTGAAATCAAGCAAACAATTCTACCGGATGATGATCCCAATTTGGCTATGTCCTACAACAACATCGCTCTAGTGTATAAGAACATGGGTGACTACTCAATAGCACTTGGATTTTACGAAAAAGATCTCGAAATCACGAAAAAAGCTCTGCCTCCGAATCATCCTCATTTGGCTACTTCCTACAACAACATCGGTCAAGTGTATAACAACATGGGTGACTACTCCATAGCACTTGAATTTTACGAAAAAGCACTTAAAATTAAAGAAAAAGCTCTACCTCCAAATCATCCCTCATTGGCTGGTAGTCACTTGAATTTTGCAGTATGTTACAAAAGAATGGGTGATTACGCAGCAGCTCTTAAAGCTGTTCAAAATGCTTTTCAAATTCAGCAAAAAGCATTTCCAGAAGGTAATCCAGCTTTTACTTCAACATACAGTTGGTTCGGAAGAGTTTATCGCAGTATGAAAGATTACTCAAAGGCACTGGATTATTTTGAAAAGTGTCTCGCAATAGATCTAAAGACGTTAGCTGAAGGACATCCATATCAGGCCATTACATATAGTAATGTTGGTGATGTTTATCGATTAATGGGTAACTATGAAAAGGCACTTGCATTTCATCAAAAAGCATTAGATATTCAAGAAAATGTTCCCTGTAATCCTCTTCAATGTGCAACGACATATACAAATTTAGGTGAAACTTATCGAAAAATGCAAGATTATTCAACAGCATTGTCATATTTTCAAAAAGGATTAGAAATACGACAAAAGAAACTGCCAAAAAGTCATCCTGATTTAGCTGTAATTTATCATAATATGGCAAAATTATATTTATCTACTGGACAATATAATGTGGCAATGAAAAATGTTCAACAAGCAATAGAAATAGCTCAAGAAAAATTACATTCAACTCATCCTCATCTTTTGAAATATAAAGAAACATTTGAAGAAATTCGAAAGGAAATGTAATTTATTTATTTTTCTTCACTGCTCAATAAATTGATTTAAATTGGTATTCAATGTTTTTCTTCTGGTTGTTCTCTGCTAATTTTGGCTTACACGTGCGCGCGGCAAGGGATAGATCCCTTGTCAATGCCATAGGTACCACAGAGGGGACTACGTCGGACTGATATGACAATGGCCGAAGATATGCCCTATGAACGGTAGAGACCAACGACACATAGAGGCCTTCCATAGTACCACACTGCTTCGCTATAACATGAAAGTTCCTCTCCCTATTAAGTCAGACAAGGTAGCTATCTGACCTAGTGATAACATTGAAAACTAAACTCATCTCATCTCAGAAGTACTCATACTCATACTCA